CGGCCACAATGTGGTCGGCTGCGAGTACCGCAAGGTTTGGGGAGGTAGACTGTGGGCTTTGGAACCAGTCAAAAAATCTGGACATATCCACCAAAACCATGGGTTTACTAAGTTGACTAATAAAAAAATGCAGGAGATCCTCGTGCAGAACCATGCCTCCCGGCATTGCTTCAAGATGCTTCAAGGCACCATACTGGCATAAAATTACAGTATATAGTATAGTAATCTATATTAAGCTATATCATCCCCTATAGTTATTTATTTATCTATCCTGTTTTTATTTTAAATATATGTATGTATATATATATGCAACTACTGTATTCTATAATCTTCTAAAACTCATTGAAAATCCCAGTGTTTACATGACAGAAGATCCCCTCAAGAAACCCCAAGACGGGCCTTGATTTGGAGGTGGGCAAGGTGGTGAAGGAGTACGGACCCATGATCTTGGCATCCGGAGGCGCAAGAGATGGAGCCTCCAACTCACCCAGCGACAATCTACAAGTCGACCCTGTTTAACGGCTGTTGTTGTTGATGATAATGTGTTTCTTTTCAAACTCTTTTGCAACCTTAAAAAATGAGTTTATCTTTCAGAGGTTGAAAAAATGTTTTCCGATGGTTTTCCCGGCCGGAAGGCTTCGGTGGAATTCGTGGGAGCTTTGGCGGATGGATGTGATACAAGTAACTTTAGCGATAATAATATGGTGGTGTCCATACATGGGAGATCCCCAAAATGGATGGTTTCTAATAGAAAATCCAATTTCCAGAGATGATTTAGGGGTACCCCTATTTTTGGAAACCTTCATATATGTATATACTATTAGACATTGTTAAATATATCCACTGCGGGTCCGCGCGCGCGCGCTTTGGACACTGAGCTTGTGAGTCTTCGGCGCGCGCGCGCGGACCTAATCACTCAACACGCGTTGCTAACTAGATTACGTCGGGAAACACGTCCATTTTGGTGCAGCTGCAAAGTCCGCATACTGCCAAAGACTTGTGATTTACGAGATCAACTTGGCAAAGGCTTAGGGTTGACCCTGTACTCCAGGCGCAAGGTGGCTACTCCAAAGATCGCATCCTTGGGGGTGAGGCACAGCGGAAGTGGAGACCCCCGTTCTTGGCAAAACGTTGTTTGAAATCCTTGGGAAATTGGAGATCTAAGATGATTTAACTTGAAGAAACATGAGGATTTACGCATTGATTTATTCCTATATTTGTGTATGGTGATACCCTCTGGTAATTTGTTACAGTTTGCTATTGAACATGGCCCATTGAAATAGTGAGTTTTCCCAATGATAGCATGGTGAATTGCCATAGTTTTTTTGTATGGTTACAGGAGGGTATATACTATATACACCACATTTAAATCCCGGCTAGAAACCTCCCTTTAGTTCGTGGAATGTCCGACAAATCTTCCCCTTACTCCCACTATAATCCCAGTATAATCCAAGTGTACTTAGTATTGGAAAATATATGACAATATAGGAAAATATATGAAGTTATATGAAAATATAGAAAAATATGATAATCCCAGTATTATTATCCCATTAAATTCCATGATTTTCCTATATGTTTAATTACATATTTTCCCATAATACTCCCAGTAAATCCCAATAAATTCCAATAATAATCCCATAATAATTCCAATATATGTTCACATATTTTCCCAATATAATCCCAATAAATCCTATATTGTTTGGTTCCACCCAGCGAGCCGCTTGAACTTGCTTTGTGTTGTTTTTCGAGGTTAAAATGGATGGCTGGTATCCGGACCCGGCGTGGTATGAAGCGTAGGATGGGCTTCACCATGCTGGGAATTGATGGGAAATCCCCGAAAGTTTTAGTAAATTGCTCCATATTCATGGATTATCAATGGAATTGTCATAGCATATTACTGGAAAAATCGGATTATGACATTACCCTCTGGTTATTTAACATAGCCATGATATAGATGGCCTATTTGTAGATGCTTTACCTATTAAAAATGGTGATTTTCCATATCAACCAGGTTGCTTGTGATAGGTTGCTAAGTTGCATGGCTCTCCATGTAAGTGTAAGCTTTGTTGCCAGTTGCACCGGAAATGGTTTTGTTTGAAAATGGGGTCCCAAACCTATGGGTTTATCACAGTTGTCGCTGCTATTTGATGGCCATTTGCGAATCTACGCCATTCTCAAACAAATTCAAATCCCAGAATTAACGTTATGTTATGTTGTGTTGTGTAATGTAATGTAATGTAATGTAATTAATGTAATGTAATGTAATTAATGTAATGTAATTAACGTAATGTAATGTAATGTAATGTAATGTAATTAATGTAATGTAATGTAATGTAATGTAATTAATGCAATGTAATGTAATGTAATGTAATTAATGTAATGTAATGTAATTAATCTAATGTAATGTAATGTAATGTAATGTAATTAACTAATGTAATGTAATGTAATGTAATGTAATGTAATGTAATGTAATGCAATGCAATGTAATGTAATGTAATGTAATTAATGTAATGTAATGTAATGTAATGTAATGGAATGGAATGGAATGGAATGTAATTAATGTAATGTAATGTGTAATGTAATGTAATGTAATGTTATGTAATGTAATGTAATGTAATTAATGTATGTTTGTATGTATGTATGTATGCATGCATGGATGAATAGTATGGTATGGTATGGTATGGTATGAGATGTCTGACAAAGTTTGAATCTAATCGGAGTTGAAAACTGTCAGAAAGATAGCAAAGCAGATCAAATCAGATGATGTTTCTGAAATTTTGAATGGAGAATCCGACCACCTTGGATGTGGCGTTTTTATCGCTCCCTGGATCGCGCCAGGTCCATGCTGAGCGGAGCCTGACAAAGACAAAAATCAATGTTGCAAAATGTATGGCGCGTGGAGATTTGAGGGCAAGCTGTCCCTGTGATTTTGTCGGATTTCTGTTGCTTACGATACATCGTATCTTAAACGTTCGTTCCAACTGTGTCTGTGGAAAGCCCACGGGTGGAAATGTTGAGACAGACAAAGAGAAAAAGATCGGCCTGAGCTGATACTTCCACTACAAGTATTTGAAGTTGGCATTGAACGGAGAAGACCAAAAAAAAGTTCCTCTAATTGATCTTATTGCTTTTGTATTTAAGACCGTTGTTTTTTTTGACACGAAGAAGTGTTTCAGAATCCAGCGTGCAGTTTTTGGCTTCCCAAGCTTAGACATATGAAAGTACAAAGGGAGGCTACAAATGCGACACGTGCGTGTGACGCGCGAACCTTGGGTTGGCTAGATGTATTTTATCCAGTTTTATTTTTTGTGGAGTTAAGTGTGGGTCAAAATTGAGGCAGTCTGACGCAAAGACGGCTGAACGTCTACATCGTTGTACGCACCTTACGATTTCCGATAACCCAACCTTGTTTGCGTCAGATCAATGCGGTTTGTTTCGCCAAAGGTGGTGTCTGCTCCGTAGCAGACGGAGCCAGTCAACTGGTTCACGTGCAAAGCGCAAGCACCGACCTTACCCTAACAAAATCATCATTCTTGAATTTCACAAGATAGATTTTCACTAAGGTGATCAAAAGAGGCTGTAATGGTGAGCCAGAATCACCAAAAGGCCCCGGTGAGCCATAATCGCCCCCAGGCCCTGGCGAGCCACAATCGCCTCCAGGCCCCGGCGAGCCATAATCGCCCCCAGGCCCCGGCGAGCCACAATCGCCTCCAGGCCCCGGCGAGCCATAATCGCCCCCAGGCCCCGGCGAGCCACAATCGCCTCCAGGCCCCGGCGAGCCATAATCGCCCCCAGGCCCTGGCGAGCCATAATCGCCCAGAAGCATCATTGCAACTCAATCCCCAGCACACAAAACTACATCAAGTCACGTTTAGGTCCATGTCCGCTACAAAGGAGAAACATGTTGATTCTAGCGCATTAGGTTGTGCCCAATGTCGTCGGGTTCGGTATGCTAAAGCATGCACAGGGTTGACTACGGTCCTTTCTCGGTATCAAGAGTGGGCAGCGCCTTTCTTAAAGCTTTATTCTCGCTACCAAGTGACGCTGCAAAATGAAATGGTTGCAAAGGTGTTCAAAATAGGAATGCAGTTCCAACAGTTTCTGGCGCACACTGATGTAGCTTATTTTCGTGCTGCATGCCGTTTCAAAATTTCTATACATCCATGCGCCTGTCACTTGTGTACATGCATGTCAGTGGCCAAAAAAAATCCTACGAGGGCTTCGCATAAAATTGTTGACCAGCCAACCCACAGCCGCAGCCTCAAAGGAAAAGAACAAGGCGGCAAAAACAACACACGCTGGATAAAAGCAAGACAAAAAAAGCTACAACATGTGCAAGCTATCACCGGTAACACTTGTGGCATGCAAGGTCCGCACAGGCATTCTTTGACAATACACTCAGTCGAAAAATGCCATGGAACTTATGAATTGCGCAAGCGTAGCCGCAAAGGTATGCCTGAAGCTGTGTCCACCGACATATATGCCAAAAGTCATAGTAAACGACAACAAAAGAAATGCAAGGCTGTGCTAGTCGAAGCTTGCGCCCACTGTAAAAACAACACCAGCATCAAGGAAACGCACACTCAGTATTTGAAATGCATCAACCACACCAAGTACAAGAATGGTATACACTATCATGCCGATGATGCCAGTCCTCTTCGTGGTCGATGTATTGGGGGCAGACCGGCTCCAGTTTGGACTTCAATTTCTTCTACTTCTCCGTCTTCTTTTTCTATTTTATCTACCCCAAGCGCGCCAGTTTGCTTCTTGTGTTCGCGCTGTGCTCCTGACTATGTGCCATTTGCTTGTCAGAAAATATATTCTGCGAAGTGTTCCACTTGCAAGCGCGCTAATCGCAATCAATGTGGAAACCGGGAGGGCAGTTCATTCTTTTGCAAGTGGTGCTTTGACGAAGACATAACACCATCTGTAGAAGCCATACAATCAGCTGCGCAACAAACATGTAAAGCCATACGATCTATAAGAACGAAGATTTTGCCATGTCGCTGGGTGGGGCATGCACGCAAAGCACGCGCCCAGAGAATCTGGAGGAGTCTGCGCTCGATAGTCAATGGCAAGTTAGGTACTCAAAATCTAGCCCCAAGTAGAAGGAAGACAAAGGACAATGTGGAGCATATGAGTTCATGGAGTTTGCAACTCAAAACAGGCAAGAAGGATGCGGAAACTAGAAAGTGTTGGAGTACAACAACAAGACCCAATACCCATATGAAACCTGTCCGATTTCGAGGAGATGGAGCAGAAACATTACAGTCTCATGAACATGAAGCTTGGAAAGGCAGCAGCCAAAAAAAGCAACCGCGACAACAAAGGAAACATGTCAAGAGAACTAGCTTTTGTGCAATCACCCGCACGTGGCGAAGTAGGACAATGAAACAGGTAGGGCAATCACGTAGCTCAACATACACTAATCGAAACCTAGTTTTTAGGTTCAAGATGTTTAAGACACGATGCGAAGGTGCCAGCTCTGTTTCTTCATTACGGCAGCATACTTTGTACCATCATCCACTTGTCTCTCCCCAGCTGCTGGGGTCGGCGGATCATTTGCATGGGAGGATTCAATTCCCGAAGCGTCGTTTTTCGCAAACTTTAGAGACACTTCCCGCAGAAAAGGTAGAGTCAAAAATGGCAGTAGCCAACAACACCATTGATGTGTCCTGTGACGCGTTGGGGTCGGTAGTTCAAACACACACGGGAAAGCCGTCCATTGAGCTCGAACATGCAAAACTTGATATGCGCGGGGCGCTGCCTGTGCGATGTCAAGGAGGCGGCACAGAACAATTGCAGTGTTTCATGTGTTTAGCATATAAAAGCGCATATGTCCCAAAACAATTGAATGATGAGTATGTGTCGCACTGCTACACCTGTGGTCGCGGAGCGTGCGATAGCCACGGATCCTGGGTAGTCGGGCACTTCCACTGTGCACTTTGCCATGCGACTGACGATGGTTTATTGGCGGAGGTAAAGGACACTTTTGCAGTAAGATGTCTCAGCAAAACCTTTCAGAACCAAAGGTTGCTACATACGAATGAGGAAGCATTTAACGACTTAATGCTGACTTTGTGCACGGGAGGAATAAACCGTCCAAGAGGAATTGGAAACTATGAGGAACAAGGCCTGAAGGTGCAGCCACAGGAAGCAGCAGGCGTAGAGCTTCCTTGGGACGACGCGCGGCAGCTGGTAGAAGCAATCGTACTGTCTCGAGTTGACACACCAGATGATGCAGTAAAGGTGCTCGGACAGAGTTGGGTGCCAACTTGGGACGGCTGGAAAGAATTGCGCCAATGTGCGACAGAGCGCTGCTGTGTTGCAATCGCGGAGCGACTGTGCGACATCGCCCAGCAAAATGCCCCTTACCAAAGCAAGACCGACACCCAAGCATTGCAGGCTTTGGCGTCCGAAGGGTTCATGTGGCGGAAAGCGCTGTCACACGGCGTGAATAACTGCTTGATCGATTCCCTGATGTTGTGCCTGTCGTATGAACACATTTTGCCTAATAACTTAACAACAGATGTCACAGCAAGGCGACGCGTTGCAGCTGCATGCAGAAAGCATTTGATTCAAGAGATTGGGGACGAAGTGGCTCCAGGCAGCAATGGGCTTTTCCCGTTCCTGGATGCGCATCGGGATGGCCCCAGAATTGTAGACTTTTTGTTCCATTGGTTTCGCGTTGTTGCGCGCACGAATATGCTAATTCATGTGCATGACAGATTTGGTGAGCAGGCTGCAGGTGCAGACTGGAATAAAATTGCAGTGAACCTTGGCCATAGGTACCCACAACAGACTGTTTTGCAGCTACACATTTATAACCACACTTCTGTTCGGGGTAGAGGGTATCATTTTGATAGCTTGCTCCCGATCACTGGGCGTGAAGCCGAATCAAAGAAAAAGAGAAGCCGTACCGTAGCGGCCACCAACGCAATGAAGATAGAAGCAGAGTCCGTTCTGACAGGAGCGGAACTCAATGATTTGCAGCGAGAGCCGCAGAGAAACGGTGGCACACCTGAGAAGCCGAGTTGTAACAAGGAGGCAGCAGAGCAGCAAGCAGATCAAAGAGCAGAAGCCGTATTTGCAAAGATGGCGTGGTACTTTCATGGCACGACTTTCGCGACATCCTGGCTTGATGCGCTGCTGGCAAATCTGATTTTTCATGGATATATGTTACAGTTTCCAGATTTGCTTGCGCGTCAGGATGCACGCTTTCACCTATGTAGAACATGCCAGGCAAGTTTAGAACCGGAGCAACTAGAGAGCGACAAAGCCTTCGACTTACAGCATCATCTCGCGAAGGCAATTTTGTTTTTCACAAGTAGGAGCCGAGATGAGGTGAATGCTGAGGTACATGTGTACGATTCAACTACCACTGACCTCAGTGTACCGCATGAAGTTTATACCATCGGTCGACTTGACAGCTTGCTGGTGCCAGTCTTCCGCCTCTATCGCTACAAAAATGGCCGTTACGCTGCCTTGTTGCCTGCTAACCCAGCAGAACGGCCTGTGTTCACAAGTGGCGACTTGCATAAAGCAGCCCAAGGTAGCAAACAAAACGACATGAATGCAACGTGCACTGTAGCGCCATCGACAAATTCGTTTGGAACAAGTGGCTGCGCTGCCGGCATAGGCGCAGCGCCCGACCTGTGCGCACCGCAGAGTGAGCAAGTGCGTGAAATCTTGCAGCGGTTCTGTGACCAAAGAGGCGCAGATGTGCAAGTTGACGAGACAGACGCGCATCGAGTGAGTGATGCTTGGTGGAACTTAGATGCACTGGGAATAATTTTGCACACCCTTCTGCAGGCAGGGTTGACTTTTGCAGACGCAGGCATGCATCACGCGCGTAGATTAGCAAATCAGTGGCGCGGTTTTTATAGTGTGCACATGCAAGGTACTGGGAAACGATTGTCAGATGGTTCAATGGAGACAGCTCAGAAGGAAAATGTCGGTCACAAGACGGCTGCAATAGATGCAGCTGCTACCTGCTCTTTGCACAGCACATCAGCCGAGAGACAAGAACCAACTAGTACCAGTGAAGTGAATCTGAGCAGTAATGCGCGAAAACGGAAGGCAACGCAGCAAGATGCAAGTGCAAGCCCACTGCGCAAAACAGAGATGAATGTGCCTCCTCGCCGTGTGCGCCACAAAGCACCGCCGGTCGGATCAACAACAGCACCACCATCCGGAACTGGTTCGCTGCAAGGCGCTAGCACTGACGCAGAGGATATCTATCCTTTGCGGCTCTGGAAGCCGTCGCAAGGAAACAAAGACCCTCGGGCAGCATATGATTTTGCAGTGCAAGACGCAACAGCTCTTCTTTCAGACAAGCCTACATTGCCGGAACGCCTGCATGCCGCAACTGACCCTGAGATGGCATATGACTTGCCGGATTACCATTGCGCATTTCGAAGCTGCGGGTTCGAGTGTGCGACACAGGCGGCGCTCGCAGAACACGTTGCTCAGCATCATGCGATTGCGTTACATGACTTGGCATTACGGTGGTCATCACAGGTTGGCCCTGCGCAAGCGACATTCCAGGCATATCAAGACCTGCTAACGCAGCGCTGCCAACAGTCTGGTCCCCTTGCGACCTGTTCTATTGACCGACGCTGTTTGCGGAGATTCCGTTCTAACATGCTGGGTCACCATGTCGGTACCGCGATCTGCTTCGTGTGCGCGCGTAGGTTCCCATTCGTGGACGGTTTTCCGAACCAACAAATTTCATGGCTACGAGCATACGAGCCACACACTGGATTGTTCTTCGACCATGTTCCTGAGATGCTCGAAGCTTTGTTGGGGATGAGCACGTATCACGCACGTTATGTGACGACCTTGCCTGCTGATACGCAACCCGGTTTGCAATCCGAATTGGCGCAGTGGACCTGTACCATCGCTTGCGCCCCATATAATATGAGCCTGCTTGCATGCCCAGAAGATAAAAGATGCATACAGCGGTGTCCGTCGAATCGGCTGTGCACACATTGCGAGATACCTATGTGCACGTCTTGCCGCACCAGGATATATCGACAGAAAATGAAGCCGCTAGAGGCACTGAGCAACGACTTGTTCCTGGGGTATCCGCCGAGAGAACTATATGCACAAGAATGCACGATGTTGGAATTAATATGCGCAAGTCCTTGCATGACTGCATTAACTTGTTTCAGCATTGAGTGGCGGTATCTCCAAGATCGCAGTCTAGCCCAAGATGCGCTCATGAATCGACATCGCCTGTGTGCAAAGGGCAATGCCACGACATTCCCGCTCCCCTGGGAAGATCTGTTAGCAGAATTTGAGCGTCTGGGAACCCCGGCCACCAAGGCTTCCGTGAATATGCTGCCGCACGTTGGTAAGGAACTAAGTGACAAGGTAGCCGTCATCATAAAAATCGGTGACAAGACAGATAAAGAGGCAATACGTCAACAAATTATACATCAGGCCGTAGTTCGTCGCCGGGTCGTTGTCGGGCTGATTGCTGCCATGGTTGCGCGTAACCATCCGGCATATCAGGGTCTAGATATGGCAGTCGTAGAAACGCGCGCTGAGATGCTCCCCGAGAATGATGTGCCGGCTGAAATTATTGCGTTGCTTGACAACGATGGGAGCCTAAATCAGGTGTTGCGCCAAAAGGCTGCCACACCGGTGAATGATCAAATGACGGCCGAAGAGGCAAGACGAGAATTTGGTCACATGCTGAAACCCAATGCGGTTGTCCTGGAAAAGACAAGTGCTGGATGCCAAGACGTGAATGCTCAACATGTGTCTGCATTGAAAGAGATTGTGGCGCGCGCTGAGCCAGCATCTACACAGCCTCTGCCCGAAGTGACGTTGTATACTGGGACCAAACTTATGGACCAGTTCCAGCCGCTGTATTTTGCGTTGGCTTTCCCCTTCGTCTTCCCGTACGGCATTGGCTTACCCGACGTTCCCAAGTGGAGCCAGCGACAACGGCCACGAAGACACGCGGATGATCCATATGTGGAGCTGAACACGTGGGTGCGCGCCATGGCGCGGCGCATCGAAGCCCAAGTCAGTCGTGACTGGGTTTTTGGCTTTACATCCTGGAATTTGCTTTTCCGATCTGCGCTGAATCTTTCACGTACTACAGACGCCTATTCCCGCACATTCTTTGATGAGGACACCCAAGAATGGGTGCAGCCGACAGGGCGCCATGTCGAAGCGGCGGCCCAGCAATTGCTCCTTGCTTTAAAAGGATCGTACATAGATGTCAATGGGCAACCACGGCCCGTCAAGGGTGATGTCGCGAAGCTCCGCTATGTGCAAGGGCTAAAGCCTATGGCCCGAAAACTTTTAAACAACATGCGGCATACAGCCCAAGGCTTGCCTGGGACTCAAGAAGCTCGGAAAAGGATGCGGTTCGAGATTCAAGCCATGCGTATCCGGTACGGAGTGCCGTTGTTTGTGACATTTACGCCAGATGAAGCGCATCAGCTGCTTTTTGTGCGGATGACGCGCGTTCGCTCCTGTGACCCTGTTCGCGCCGCCTCCATAGGGCAAGATTTCCCGGCTGGGGAAATGTTTTTCCCGCATTTGGGCTTGCAGGATGCTGTTGCCATGGGACCTTTCGAGCATGAGTTCACTTTACCGATGTCTTGGGCAGAACGCCGCGAAGTTCTAGCGCGGGATCCGTTGGCTGCCGTGGATGGGTTTCGGGTACTGACGCATTTGATGTTGAAGCATCTCTTCGGCGTTCGTGTGTGTCCATATTGTCCAGATTGCAATGGCTTCAGTGGACTGGAGCCGTGTCAAGACCTTCGCGGCAGCAACGCAGAAGCAAACGGTGGCATATTCGGTCGCGTGGACGCAGGATATATATCCCTCGAAGCTCAGAAGAGCAGCGGGGCAGAACATGGCCACATGCAAGTGTTTGTGCAGTGTTTGCATCAACATACTTCACTAGAGGAAATCTTCCGGCTTTCGCACGACAAGTTGGCTGCGTTGCGCGCAGAATACGAAGCATATAATGCACATGTGTGTCATGCAAGTTACGTGGGCCAATCGAATGAAGACATGGAACGCCGCATCGCCGCTGCGGAAGCATCCTGGCCAACGCACGAGCTGGATGTGACGATGACAACGATTCCGACATATCAACTGCAACGTGCTACTGAAACTGATAACGCCCAAAACGAAGCTGCAGACTGGCGAAGGCGCTACATGGCAGAAGACGTCGTCCAGCTGCAGCTTCTGAAACAGCATCACTACCATCCTTACAATGAAACTAGCCAAGGTCGCGTCCCATTGGCAGGCTGCCAAAAGAGTGACCGGCCAGGGCTGTGTAAGAGTGATTTTCCTCGCACGCAATGGCTCTGTGCGCAACCTACTGTATTATGTCCTTGCAAGTTGAAAACGTATGGGATGCCAAGCGGTGGACGAAAAAATCGCTTAGGAGCTTTGCATGGACCCTGTGGGCATGAGTGGTTAAATGGCTGCGCACCAGCAATGTTGGCAGGACTACGTGGTGCAAATTGCGATGTGCAGGTGCCATACCGGCTTCCATATTCATGTCCAACTTGCGGAGACCAATTGACAGCCGAAGAACGGCAGCAGATGTCATTGGCGGCGCAGCGGGCGCAAGATTCACAAACCGGGTATTGCGCGGATTACTGCTCCAAGGGCCAGCCGATGGGACATGGAGAAATCAGAGAATTCCAAAAAGGACACGAACAGTTGCATGCGCAGCATGCGCGGAAACCATTAGATGACCTAGGCAAGCGACATGCAAACCGATTCCTCAGCGATGCGTATCTCAAAGGCGTGGTGCGAGGACAGGTCGAATGTTGTAATCTGCGCGCCTATCATCGCGACGACACGGTCGTCTCAGCCGAACGCATTGCAACAACAATCTTCGAAAGCTTCCCTGGGGCTGCTTTTGCGGACTTTGTTGCGAAATATCACAACGGAGATGAGGTAGCGTCGTCCATGCGCCGCGCCGCGGTGAAATGGACTCGGAGGCAATCGTCTGGTGTCCGACACCTAGGGACACTTGATATTGTAGAAGTTTATGGGCACCGGCCCAAGACAGCAGAGGTGTGGTGGCTGTCGCCGTATGAGTTCGTTACAAATTGGGCAGTCACTATAGCTCGTGTACCTACGACGCAACGTGAATGGGAATTGGAAGAGCGTAGTAGCTGGGACGTTTCGTTGACGGCAGCAGGTCTCAAATTGATACAAAAGCAAACAGATCCCGACAAGAAGTTGCAACTGCAACCAGGGACTCATTATTGCCTGGCTGTGCAAACTACGCCGGGTCGAATATGTTTAGAAGATGGAACGGCAACAGCACAGCTCCGACACCGTTGTTATCTGCTACGTCGGCGTCGCCCGTGTTGCCCGCACTTTGAGAATTCGCCCGTACCCCTGCAGAAAGCGGGTCAAGAAGAGGTAAACGCTAGATTGACCATGACCTATTTCCGCGCGTGGACCCTCGATGCGAACAATGCTAGCGCCAATGTTCCGTTTGTGGGCCGCTTGAAAGCGCCAACAGAAACTTGGGTACAAGCTCTGCGCATGTGGTTGACGCATTTGCCATGCGAAGAAACAAAACGGCACACCGGCAACTTCTTATCAGTCTACCGTGTCCGTCCCAGCGGTGCAGAGGAAGCGAACAGTGACGACAGTGGCATTGATGAACCGCTTCTAGTTACTCCCACTAGCCTGCCGACAGCTCTAAAAACGTCATTCCGGCAAACTGGCAAAAGGGCTACTGCACATAAAGCAGAACCAGGTCCAGAAGTGCACGATAAAGTTTTGGCAAGCTACGAGGAAGCAGCGGCGCAAGCGGAAGCAACATGGGCAAAAAACAACCAATATAAGAATGTGACGAATACAAAGACGCAGAGCAACAATACGTTCCACGCATACGATCCAGCCGCAGTTCGTCGGGCAATCAAAGCTTTAAACACGAAAAAAGCCGACAGAGCTGTAGTTCGAAAGATTCCCACGCCGGGCACGTGCGAAGCCGAGGCACGAGCAACATGTGAGAAAGTCGATGCCTTCCTACGCGATTTGCGCGGAACGAGCAAATGCAATCCGGAACAGCTAGCGTTCATCGAAATCATCTGCGCCCGGGTGAAACATGAAGCTGTGTCCGGACAAGAGCGCGGCGGCACGGTAGACACCAATACCGAAGCGTTGCGCTGGGCGCTTCATGGCGGCCCAGGCACAGGTAAGTCATACGTGCTGAACATAGCACGGCGCGATTTGTTCGAGGAGTGCCTTGGATGGACGCCAGGAAAGGAATTTCAAGTTGTCGCATTTCAAGCTGTCAATGCCGAGCCTTTGGATGGCGAAACCATGCATCAAGCATTGGGGTTGGCTTGGCACGGCAACGATCACAACGTCGACGCGCAGCGGATTCTTGATCTTGCACAACACGCCGTGCAGTGGCGCTGGCTGCTGATTGACGAAATCAGCATGGTGAGTGCCGAGATGTTAGCACGCCTCGAGGCCCGATGTCGCCAACTTGTTTTAGATGTCTCCGCAACAAAATATGGTAAGCAGAATCGCAACTGCGTTGCGCCCTTTGGTGGGCTCAACGTCATTCTGTCTGGAGACTTGTGGCAGTTACCTCCGCCGCGTGGAACGTTTCTCGGCCAAATCCCATGGCAGCTTGTAACAGGCGTTTCATCTAAGAAGCTGCCATTAAGTTTGCAAGGCCAACAGCTCGTATGGGCCCCCAGCGCGCAGGGTGGCTTACAAGGAGTGACCGAACTGGTTCGCTGCGAGCGAACGCAAGACGTGTGGCTCCAAGATCTGCAAGCAGAACTTCGCGTGGGGCACTTGTCCGAAGACAACCATGCATTCTTGCATGGTCGACCAACAAAGGTTCCAGGAAGTTGGTGCGCTAGGACTCAACGGCCTATGTGTCAAGAAAACATATGTTATCAGTTGTACAAAAACGCCTCCACAGCGACAGCGATTCTCAAGTACGAATGTCCAATCTGTCACGCTGAACGGGATACCAAGCGTCTAGTTGCCGTGGACGCAGACGATCCTCGCTTCGTAGACGGTTTCAGCATGGCGCGGGGGATTTTCCACACGAACGGGGTGAAGTGCCACGTGAATAAACTTCGCGCGGAACAATGGGCGCGGCAGCATGGGCAAATAATCTATTATGCAGTGGCTACGGATAATGTATCATCGCGAGCTTTGCACGAGAAGCCCGACATCGCCCAAGACAAGCTCACATGGCTGCAACGCAGTGATGCTGATTGCGGGAATCGGTATGGCGTCCTTCCGCTGTGCATTGGTATGCCTGTACAAGCGCGGGAACACCTACACCGGAAGGATTTCAAGATCTTGAAAGGGTGTCATGGAACCATTTGCGGGTGGTCAACCATTGAGACAGAAACAGCGGCGGCAGATGGAGCAGTAATATGGAACAAACTCCCCGATTATATCTTCGTGCGTTTTGAGACGCGAACACGTTGGACAATTCCAGGCATCGATCAAGAGAACGTCTTCCCGGTCAGCATACAAAGTGCACAGTGGTTTCTAGACGCAGGCCGCACCAACCCACAATTGAAAGTCACCCGGTACCAATTTCCCATCGCGCCCGACTTCGCTGACACGTTCTACGGCGCACAAGGAAGCACAATAGAGCCGGGCGTGATCGTTGACATGGTCGGTGCTGACCCAATAGCGGCGTACATTGGGATGACGCGGAGCCGCACACGGCAGAAGATCTTGATCTACCGACCGTTCCCGCTGGCGCCTTTTCAAGAAGGCCTTCCACTGGGACGGCAACTTCTGCTTGATGTGTGGAAGCAGGAGCCGGTGGACTGGGATGCGTTGCGCAAGAAGTACTTGGACGAAAGGCTCTGTCAAGAGTGTGGGGAGATGAAGCGCAAAGACGCCTTCACCAAAGCGCAGTGGAAACAGGAGACCTATCGGGTCTGCAAAGAATGCACCGCGCAGAAGCGCGAGGCAGGCACACCATATCGTTGCACGCAGTGCGGCCTATGGCACGCTGCTTGTCACTTTGCAAGCAAGCATCGAAATCCACGGTGGAGCATGTACCGAGTATGCTTCACCTGTGATGCAGTCAAGCAATGTTTTATTTGCAAAACAAAACAAACGCAGGAATATTTCGGTACCGCAGCATGGAAAGCTAGGGAATCAAAACGAAGAGTTTGCTTGCAATGCCAAGCCAAAACTCGTGGTTCTTGGACGTGCGCGGCCTGTCAACAACGGAAGCCCCAGCAGCAATTTTCCATTTTTATCTCCAAGCGGCCCTCTGGGGAAAACGGAACTCAGATGTGCAACACATGCCGTACCGCCATTGTGCAGGATGCTATCCGCAAGCGTGCTGCCACGTCCGCCACGGCGCGACTGGAACCTCTTCGCAAAAGAGCCCGCCACGTGCAGATTCTACGTGACACCTGGGAAGCGATTGCAAGAAACCGAGGCAGCCAAAAAAGGCAAGCCAGTGACACCACGGGAACCCCCGTTTCACAGACAAAAGAGGACACGAAAGAATGTCAAGAAGTAACAAAGACCACATTACGAGCGTATGTTTGTCCAGCCTGCGGCAAAGCTACAAAATCCACAATAATTACTGGAGAGGTGCTAACACAAGGACATTGCGGACGACGCTTTCGTGTCAAGAATGGTGCAGTGTGTCGGCAGTACACCCACTATTGTCCGGCTTGCAACACGAAGGTGACATCAACAAAATCACACGGACGAATACAATCGAAGCACAGAAATGACACAGGACGATATTGTAAAACATATCAGTGGACCAGTGCCGGCCCAAAGTAAGTTGTCATGTTTGAATTTGAATTATTCTTCTCCTCCTTCTTCTTCTGTTGCTGTTGTTCTGCTGCTCCGGCTTAAACTATATATAGTACTGGCTGCCTGCTGGCTGCTGCAAAAAACGTGGGTCCCGGACAGGGAAACACCATAGCAGTGAAGGACGGAGGCAGCTGCTAACGTGTCTTCTGAAATCCTAGCGAATCCTAGAGAATCCTAGACTATACATCCTAGAAAATCTTAGACTATATATAGTACTGGCTGCCTGCTGGCTGCTGCAAAAACGTGGGTCCCGGACAGGGAACCACCATAGCAGTGAAGGACGGAGGCAGCTGCAGCTGCAGCTGCTGCTGCTGGTGCTGTCGTCCGCTGATGCTGCCGCTGCTGCTGCTGCTCTTGCTGTTCCTGCGCTGCTGCTGCTCCTGCCGTGCCATCAAGGCGAGAAACCAAACAGCAAAACACCATCGAATTTCGTGCTAAAAATGGCGCAAAATCGCAGTGAAGGACGGAGGCAGCTGCAGCTGTAGCTGCCGCTGCTGGTGCTGTCGTCCGCTGATGCTGCTGCTGCTGCTCTTGCTGTTCCTGCGCTGCTGCTGCTCCTGCCGTGCCATCAACCAGCCTCCAAGGCGAGAAACCAACAGCCAGACATCTTTTTCGAAACTCACTCGAAACAGCAAAACACCACCCAATTTCGTGCCAAAAATGGCGCAAAATCGCAATAAAAAAGTGCCTAACGTGTCCTCTGAAATCCTAGAGAATCCTAGGGAATCCCAGACTATATGTCCCAGAAAAGCTTAGAGTACTGTATAGTACTGGCTGCCTGCTGGCTGCTACAAAAACGTGGGTCCCGGACAGGGAAACACCATAGTAGTGAAGGACGGAGGCAGCTGCAGCTGCAGCTGCCGCTGCTGGTGCTGTCGTCCGCTGATGCTGCTGCTGCTGCTGCTGCTGCTGCTGCTGCTCTTGCTGCAAAAACGTGGGTCCGGGACAGGGAAACACCATAGCAGTGAAGGACGGAGGCAGCTGCAGCTGCAGCTGCCGCTGCTGGTGCTGTCGTCCGCTGATGCTGCTGCTGCTGCTGCTGCTGCTCTTGCTGTTCCTGCGCTGCTGCTGCTCCTGGCTGCTGCTGCTGCTCTTGTTGTTCCTGCGCTGCTGCTGCTCCTGCCGTGCCATCAACCAGCCTCCAAGCGAGAAACCAACAGCCAGACATCTTGTTCGAAACTCACTCGAAACAGCAAAACACCACCTAATTTCGTGCCAAAAATGGCGCAAAATCGCAGCAAAAAAGTGCCTAACGTGTCTTCTGAAATCCTAGAGAATCCTAGAGAATCCTAGACTATACATCCTAAAAAATCTTAGACTATATATAGACTATATATAGTACTGGCTGCCTGCTGGCTGCTGCAAAAACGTGAGTCCCGGACAGGGAAACACCATAGCAGTGAAGAACGGAGGCAGCTGCAGCTGCAGCTGCCGCTGCTGGTGCTGTCGTCCGCTGCTGCTGCTGCTGCTGCTCCTGCTGCTGCTGCTGCTGCTGCTGCGGCTGCGGTAGTCCGAAACAAGAGTCAAAAGTATTATTCCCTGGCGCGCTCCCCCTTGCGTCTGCCGGGGTCGGCGGATATCGAATATATCGAATATAGATTTCTCCGAGACAACGATATCCGACTGATATCATTCTCAGCTCCGTCCCATCACTTCCCGCGACAACTTTGGGCAGTTCATCAAGATGGTTTATCTCCCCATCTCTTCCAATCCCATCGGAGATTTCTCCCATCAGCCATGGCCCGTTGGAGGTTCAAATTGATGGTGGGCTTCTTCCAACCAGCTCAGCTTCCAACCCTCACGGCTGAAGATATGGCCTCTGAGCAGAAGAACGACGAGCGGAGGAAACAGAGGTGTGGTGCCGCTGGGATTCTGATCTGGTAGCTTGAGGAGCTTCCCCCAGAGACGAACAACTATGGGAAATCCATTTGTTTGAATCGACTTCATCCTATTTCTATCTTTAAATGTAATAGACATGTGATGTATGAGTGTGATGTATACATATGATTACATATGAACATATATATATATATATTATAATACATGTTACATGTCATATAATTAATCAATATAATATTCGCCAGTTGGATGATGACCTGATGACCAGGAAATATGCCATGGAAGCCTTGGACCAGGGCTGGGCCTTAAAAAATGGACAGTTGGAGCCTTAGCGACGATGATGCAGAACTGATGCAGAACGTCCTGGAAATCTTGGCGAAAACATGGTAAAACATGGAGACATCAGCTAAGGCAGCCCACTACTGGGATGTTCACTTGTGGCAAGTGCAAAGTTTGATCCTCAAAAGCTGCGATTGGTACAGCGGTCGCTTCTGTCGACAATTTGGCCTCTTCCGTTTCTCCGGCGGTGGTCAATTGAGGGCAACAAGACCACGTACTTCCAGATGCAAACAAGGCGCTGTGTTTCCTCTGGTTTGAGATCTGGCTGTGGCTCAGATTGGTCGATCCGAAATCAGTCAGTTTCGGGGAGCAAAGCATCCAACATCATCCAACATCATCCGACAGTCAGTTCCTTTTTGCAAGTTTCATTGGCGAATCGAAGCCCAAAATGCCAAGAAAGTGGAACAAGTGGAACAGAAATGGACCAGAAATGGAACACATTGGAGCTCAGTGGAACCTGAGCACGGTCCGACACCAGGTCTTCAGATGAACCCATGACCACCTTTGTGACCTGCGGGGCTCTGAAAGTCATCAGGTCACCACTTCGCTCCGATCGATTTCGGCGGCATGTATGCTGTCATATGCTGTCATATGCTGTTGTATTAACTGTTAGATGCTGTCCTCTAGTACTGTACGCAATATGTACACATGAATATTGTACACCATCCTAATCCGAGATATTCTGAGTCTGAGAATATTCCAAGACTGTTCTGAGATGATTTTTCATGAACCAGAATCCATCAGAATCTGCAGAATTTTCGATTTCATACGAGGCCTGACCTGCAGCAACCGATGGAAGTTCTGTTGAGCGCCTGGCGGTGCCTGGCGGTGCCGTGATGGTGAAATCATACGTTACTCCGTAACTGTTACTGGAGATTGGGATAAGGATAACAACTTTAGGAATCATAGAATCATATATATATATATATAGAACTTCACATAGATATAAAACTTCAGATAGATAAATTATTGGTTTCTAAAGTTCTTTTCTTGTCACACATACATTGTAAGATTTGTTTTGGATTCCCTGAGGCATAACATTTCTGGACTGAGGCTTACCATTCCAACATGACAAAACCACATGATGAATCCTCGAGACTATGACCCACCTCAAATCTGGGGTGAACGACTTCAGAATGTACATAGAACGCCTTTGCGTGGACGAAAAAGCTCTGCAGATTGGCTCTTTGGCACAGTAGCTACAGATATTGCGCACAGAATACGTAGAAAGACAAGACATTTTCAGTGTATAGTCAGTATATGCTCGTAGTATACACTCATACATATACTGTACACATACATGTATACATTATATACATGCAGATATTTATATATATATATATATATATCACATGTATATTTAAAAAATCAACATCCATATCTATATACCCCAAGCTCTTGGATTTCGCCCGCCAATGCTGTGAATTTGGCTTCAGTGGGCCTAGCAGTGTTTGGCAGACCCATGTGGCTGTTATGGGCGCCTATTGCCACTTGGCAGACTGGGCAGACTGGGCAGACCGATGTGGCCGTTGCCGATTTTTCATCAGGATGATTATCGGATGATTCAATGAAAGACTTTGATTTTTGATCAGATTGTTTTGAACTCTTACCAGGCCGAATGATTCAAAGATAAATACGATATTAGTTGATGCAATTGCTGCTGCATGGTTTCAGAGAATTTTCAGGTAACAATGGGTGCTGTGCGGCACTGAGTCGAATTTCTTGATGTTGCTCACAGATGGAAATGCAGCTGAAAGTCTATTTGATTCTATTTGCAAGATTCTTATCTTCACAACATCGAAGTTAACTTCCAAGTTAACTTCTGACAACTTCCAAGGGGATGTGATGCAGCCGGCCATGTCCATCGTTTCTGTTGCGAGGTCAAGATCCCGAAGGGAAGGCCTTTGAGGCTGAAGTGGTGCGGATCCCCTTGATCTGCCTCGATCGGATGGGATCCGATGAGCGGAGGCTCCGAGGCTCCACCAGCGACTCCTCAGTGGTGGTGGCTGTGGGTCCTGAGGCCTCCAAAGATGTTGGAATGCCACTGTCGCTGAATCTTCCTGGGAAGACTGAAGAAAGGCGCTCGGAGTGTCGTGTTGTGAAGTCCGGAGTTGTGTTGAAGTGTTGAAGTTGTATCACCATGGGTCACGCTGGTCTGCCATGGAAGAATGGGAACATGGCTGGAGTTCTTTTCACAGTGCGAAACCGACTGAAACCACCGACTGAAACATCTGAGAAACATCTGAAACCACCTGAAAGCTGAGATCTTTCATCCCCAGCTGCCAGGCCCACGCATGTCTTTGACCATGGTGCTGCATACACTGGCAGCTGGGTGGGCCAACAACGACAAGGATATGGCGTCCAGGCACAGAAACGGTCCATCCACCATGACCAATCTCTATAGATCTTGCAATCCAAATGACTTTCACTGCGATGGCAGGTCTGGCCGGATGGTGCGCGCTATGAAGGTACCTGGGACGAGTTGAGCCTCTGGTGGATCTTTTGTGCCTAGTTGTGAAGTTGTGATTATCATGGCGCCGTAACGTCGAAGTACGACTTCCGCTGTGCAGGAGACTGGAAGGAAGACAAAGCACATGGCTGGGGCAGGCAGTGGGAAAGAGCAGCGTGACATGACACACCTGAGAAGCTGGTCCAATCTATTGATCTGGGTAAATTATAACGACCTCACTGCGACCTCACTGGAATCATGGTTAATAAGGGGAATCATCCTCAAATGGCCTTAATTCAGGTTGGTGAATTATTATAATTTGCCCAGATTGATGTCGTAGGGACGTGAGCAGATTCACCACCATAGTCATCGTGGATCCAAATCTATTCTCGGCTTCGTCACCTTCACTTTCTACAACTGGCTGATTTTTCAAAATGATGTTGACATGCTCACAGGGAGAGAAGATGAGAGAAGATGAGAGAAGATGAGAGAAGATGAGAGAAGATGAGAGAAGATGAGAGAAGATGAGAGAAGATGAGAGAAGTAAGCGAAGTAAAGTTTAGTAAGCCTTCAGGTTTGTGCACGCCGATGGCGATGTTTACGAGGGCGAGTGGGCATCAGATACTGCTCATGGGTCGGGGCCCAGGACGTGCTCAGAAGCTTGGGCATCCTCCAACTATCCAATACTATCCACCTAACAGGCCTACGGCTACACCAGTTTAACTATGAAGCATCTACTGAAGCTAAACATCCTAAACTCAGTCGCGACATCAGTGGATTACATGACCATTACATGATTTTACTTTTTTCTTTACCAATGGTCCCTTCGGCAAGCATCAGTTTCTGCAGCTGGAACCCAGGAAGGGCACCTACCATCACTCCGATGGGCTGCGAACTGAGGGCAAGGATTTGCTGAGGGCTGCTGTTAGGCTACTGTTTTGAAGATGAAAGTGGCTGTGGCATGAACATGGCACACCCTCCAACTGGCTGATACTTTCGAAGCATGTCAATCATTTCAGCATATCACGTCATGTTCAGAGAAAAACAATAATTTTCTCACATCGTTATTTTTCTCTTATTTTTTCTCCACTTTGGCAGGGTGGTCGGTCCATGGCATGTGATCCATGATCCACGATCCACCTTAAAAGACTAAGGTCCAAGTATGAAGGTCAATGGGAGTACGACAGACAACATGGACACGGTGTGGAGCACTGGGTGGATGGCGCGCGCTACGAGGGCAAGTGCGACGAGTCGTCGTCGATTGAAAAAGCAACGGCTTTTGGTCGCCATTCTCCAGCCATTCTGGGTGTAGGAGTGTAGGAAAAGGAAAGGAACATATCAAAATATGGGAAAATCAAAGCAGCACCTTCGCAAGGCATTATGCAGCATTTCCTGCAGGTACACTGCAGGGAAGAAGCACGGCAAAGGCTACTTCACCTGGGCAGATGGCTCTTCTTACGATGGAGAGGACAGCCTTGACATTCAAAACCCCCTGCACCGGTGGGGTAATTTTGATGTTAGGGATTGGAACTGATAAATAGCCATTTATATCATTTAGATCATTTACTGGGGTTAGAATGATTAGAATGATTAGAATATCCAAATGATTGTCAGCATTTTAATCCATGTTATCCAAACATTTCGACACTACGACGTTCTCCGCAGTTCATGAGCAACGACATCCACGGCATTGGGACCTACACCTGGGGAGATGGACGTCGCTACGAGGCGTGGTCGATGCAGGTCGATTTCAGCGTATTCGAAAGAAACAAGCTCGGATCTCTAATGCAATGGCATAGTATTACTATAGTATTACTCTAGTATGGGCATACTCTGGCATAGTTTTGTTTCTTCACATTTGTTGAATCATGTTGAATATTTGGTCTCGAAGTATTTGTGTTCAGAGAATGGGAAGACGGAAGCTGAGTCAGAAACGTGAGAAAGCTCGCCGTGCCAGGGGCAGTGGGAAGGCAACCGAATGCATGGTCGGGGCAAATTCACTTGGCAGGGAACCCAGTTCGAACTTGCTGCTAGGAAAGTCTTCTTTGTTGCTGGAATCTCTGCAATGGATGAAAGTCTTGAGTGAATGGAGTATCATTTTCTTTCGATTCCCTTTGCAAAAGGTGAACAGCTTTGAACAGATTTGAACAAAATTTGCAAAGAAATCGATATTTCTTGCAGACCTTGAGTCGGGAGGCCTGATGGCCGGGAATACGCCGGAGAGTACATCAATGACATTAAGGCTGCCATGAAACCGAAGAAACGGCGACACCAAGTTCACCTGGTAGAGTTTGATCTGAATCAGACCGTGTTGGGACGAAATGGTACCGCAACGAATATGTCAACATACCGGGTTCCCGGTATGTCAGCTATGTCAATGTCAAAGTATGCTGCAATATGCTGCAATCATGAAATCCGTTTTCACACCACTCTTGATGTTGCCAGCATGGCGATGGTATCTTCAAGTGGCCCGATGGCCGGGCGTTGGGGATCTCAGGAAATCTTCATCTCTTGATCTTTTGATGTCGCACATGGAGATGTTGTATGGGTTTTTGAGGGTAGTTGAGTGACACAGCAACATCTTCATTGGTTTTTCATTTCCTCTTCGATTTAATCGATTGAATTCTTCAACTGTTGAACTGTTGAACTGTTGTGTCCCAACTGGGTTAGATGATCGATGACCAGGATGAACAGCCGGATGGAAACATCCGGAGCCAAGGTACGATGGACAATGGCGAAATGGGAAGCAACATGGCTTGGGTTGGCTCGGGGACCCGGCGGCGACTCGAAATGAACTTAACAAGTGCAGACAGTGCAGACTATTCAAGTGATTATTCAAGAGATTATTCACATCTATTCACCATTTGAAATGATTTGTTTCCAGTTCAAGGCTGCCATCATTATGAGCCTTCAAATTCACAAGCCTTGATGGCACCTTGAACACTAAGAAGATGGTGGAAGCGGAGTGGAAATGTGATGAACCGCTGGTTTAACTGAGCATAGCTGAGCAGCTCCCTAAATGCTCCACAGTTTGGCCTAGTTTCCAGCAACTCTCCCTTCAATTCAATTCTTGTCTTGGGAAAAGGGAGCAAAAACATGCAGAAACATGCAAAAACTACGTATTAGCTTAATGTTACTTCGCAATATTTTATGCCATTCCACCATATTTAACCATCCCGGAGACCTCTCCACATGGGATTTACATTCGAATCACTCGAATCACGGTGTATAGGTCCTCCATGGGGACAGCAGAACGACGGCAAGGTGGGGTCCTTTGCGCTAGCCGCTAGCCGCTAGCCGCTTTCGGTTCCAGACACTTTGGTTCTGGGATGTTCTGGGTTCTGACAGTTCACAGGATAGAACTACTGTATAGTATCAGGAGTGCCGTCGTTCGAAATGCGGAAGCACTTTGAAAATCTTTGAAACTGATAACGATCTCCAAAGTTTTCCTCTTCTAGACCCTTCTGTCCTTTTCCTTCATTTTCCTTCATTTTCCTTCCCCAACCAGGTGCTCTCCTGGTTGGAGTTTTACGGTTTTACGCATCTCTTGATCTCCCTTGTTACTGCAACGTTCTTGAACATGACATTTAGATACAATAAGCCATCTTATGTTTTTCAGGCCCAAGTTGTAAGAGGATGTTCTGAACTGTCCCCCCAAAAATGCCCTTTGAGAGCGCACTATGTCATGATGATGATGAGGATGATGATGATGTCTGCCCCTGGTTGATTTACCTCATTAAGGTGGATCTTTGATTCGTAAATAGTGCAAAATGCAATGGTGCAAAGGAAAGCTGCCAAAGTGCATGCTTTCGGGCTGCAATCTGCGGTGCACAATGTTCACAGTGCTGCAATTTCTTTTGCTGATCTTTCTTGAGTTTGTGATCTACCTACGTTGTAAGCCAGGAATGGCCCCCTGACCATTCCCCCCTGTCGGTTGCGCCCCGGATAGCTGTTGTTCACCAGGTGAATGGATGGAAGGCCGACGAATAAGGTCTGCAACTTGGTTCCTGCTTGGCCCAGATTTTGGTCATTTGACTCACTTGACTGACTTGACTTGACAGGCTCCTTGGTTTTGGGAGTTTGGAACCACATTTGGGGATCTGTTTTGGATCTGTTTGTGTCCTCGGTTGTTGGACCTGCACCATTCCACTGGATCACCATTGGTAGATGGATTGAAGAAGCGCTACCTGAAGCCTGAGAAGCCTGAGAAGCCGACGAACGCGCAGTGACAGTGAGTGACCCAAAGCGGGACCGTGCTTGACCCTGCGCCAAAACATCGAAGGATCCCCAAGAATCCAGAAGAAAATTCCTCTAAAGTGTGCCGAATTTGCCAAATCATCTGAACATCCTGAGAATTCCCGTAAGGTTTCTGATGGTTTCTGGTTTGAAGTTTTTTTTCCATGAATCATGACGAATCAGATCCCTTTCCTCGGCCCCAAAGGGTGCTGGAGCTGTGTCACATCCTTGCGTCGTCCAAACTCGCAGGGACCGTGAAAATCGACGGGCGATGTGGGCCGTGGGCGATGGAGATTTGAGACTCATGGGATCAGCTGAGCTCAGCTGAGCTCAGGAATTTAAGTGAGATCGGCTGGTGGTGATTTTCTAAACAGGGCCTGTCTTTTACATATATAGGCGTGTTTGCCACACTTTTTAAGCGCTGGGACTTTGCAAACACAGCTTCAGGATGCTTCAGTTACTTCAGTTCTTGAGTTGGTTGATGTTGGTTGCTTCCTCCACGCGAGCCTTGCTTTTTGGAGCTTCCGCAAGTTCCCATCGGTTTTTGCGTCGGCTCGAGTAGAAGGCAATGTACAAAATGAGCCAAGCATTTGTTTTTGCCCAAAAACGATTGCGCCAGATTTCAGGAAAGCAGGAAAGGATCAAGGAAGCTGACAGAAACAGGCTGAACGACTAGGAAAGGCTAGGTGATGCACCAAATTCTGCGTGCCGAAGGAGCAGAGAGACCACTTGTTTCACACGTGGAGCCACTCCAAAAAGGCAGCTTTGTGAGGAGACAAAACCCTGCATGGGTGTCACCCGACGGTTGATCTTCGTTTGGGACTCGGAGACTCGGAAGCGAGAAGATATGAGAAGATAGCAGAGTCAAGCAAATTTGCAAATCCTGTTGTGAGACCCCTGGGGGAGCTTCATTTTAGGAACGCTCCATATATGTTGTCAGTGGAAGTTGGTCAGAATGAAACTTCAAAACCGGGCCACACGACCATGAGAAAACACGAAGGTTTAACGCCACAACTTTGACCCATGGCCATTTGACCATATTTGACCCATCTCATGGTTGTGTTGGTTTCTAGAACCCACCCAACTCCACAACTCCGTTTCCGGAGAAGGAATCTCAAGTGCCAGATGATTATCCTAACATACACAAACATATATAATTGAATCACACACATATATATATAATAGAAATCTGCACTTGTACAATAGGCAACAATATATTAGAATATCTATTGTGTACAATGATGCTACATCTTGATGCTTATCATGTAATCTGATGTAATCTGTATCTGTATACTCATCGTTTGATATTCTCGTACCATGTATGATTCGTGCCACTGGAACCAATCCCAGGAGTTGTAGCATTCGGTGCTGGAGATGGCCGCTGCGGCCTTGGCTGAAAGGGTTCAAAAATCGATGATTCAACTGAATCTTCCGAATCTTTCCGAATCTAATGAAGATGGAGATTTTAGGAATTTATGACTACATAGACTACATTTCATGAAATGGGAGAGATTGGGAAAGATTGTGAGACTAGCGACACAGAATTTGTGAAGTTGCCCCCTTATCGTCGGGATATCCTTCCACCGTTCCATGGAGCCATCGAGCATTTGAGACGCTGAGATTGGCGTTGTGAAAATGACGGGAAGCCGCGTTTTGGAAGTGACGTGGCGCACCTTGTGACGTGGTTCTTTCATGTGACACACCAACTTTTCACCGACTTTTCAGGTTTTCATTACACATTTCGTGTTTCACCCTGTGTTTCAGCGACGTTTTCAGGTCTGAGAACATCCAACATCGCGAGTTTCGCACCGTCAGTGGCACCCCCCGTGAAGCGCTGCAAGCGCAAGCGCGCCTGGATGAGTTGCCACCGGGGCCCTGGCCCTGGCAGCAGCAGGCGCAGCCATCAACAGATTTGGATCAGAAGGGAAGCTTTTTTTTTGACTAGATGATCAACCAGTTTTGAATAGTTTTGACTACCCATCACCCTGCATTTTTTCCAGAAAGAGGGCTTGAAACATTGCAGAGAGCTTGAGAAATCAGGTGCCTCTGCAGCCTTTTGGGCTTGCGCTCAAATTTTCACGTAGTTCGTCGGGGCATAGTTTGTCGGAAACCAGGAACCAGCTGTTTTTGGGGAGATCACTGTTCTGGGCCAGTGCCGAAGAACTAACAGTTTGCTCCTGCCGTTATCATCGGTGGTCGGCGTTCAAGTAGTTTGCCCAAAGATCCCGGAGCGTGTGCAGAATTTCACGTTGGGGGCATCTTTCAACAACCCCCATCGCGGATTTGTCATGGTTAATGTAGTAAAAACCAGCTGTGTAGAACATTGAACTTGCAATCAGTGGAGTTTGTGGCAATTGAATTATACATCGTCTTGGAATAAGCCGCTGGGAGGGAGAAAATCATTTTGAACTTTTGGCTTGCGGGGAACCCGTCGTTCAATGTTTGTAGGTTTTGATGGCATCATGAGATTCGGAAGATGGCCGGATGCAGTCAATTTCGGAACATTCATTCGCTGAAGGCTTGCTGAAGACTGGTACAGGATCAGTTACAAACATCCTTGACCCTTTCAGGGATGACTCACTGACCGCATCCGAGGTGTGGTTGGGATCAGGTTTTGGGAGACACCAAGCGACGAGTCCACGACTACATGACCAGCCCCGAAGTCGGCTTTAAGCAAAGCAGCACATGTCTGAGACGCCGAAACAGGCTGAGCCGATCAACTGCAGATCTATGGATTGTGACATAAATGACATGATGAAACCATGCACATGGGCCCTGTTGTGCCAACTCGCAAACAGCTGGAATTCTGCGGAATGTTTGCCGAAATCCATCGAAATCCCAATGGATAGTTGAGGGATGTTGAATAGGAAATAGGGAACTGTACAAATTTGCATAGGGGAATGATGGTGAATTGGTAAATGAGTATAGGTCAACAATGGTAAATATAGGTCCGTAAACGTAATATTTCTAGCTCCAGTATCGATTTCAGCATTTCTTTCTGTCCAAAGTTTCATGTTTCTGTAATTGCACTCCACCACAAACCCTATGTAAACTAGCACATGTACGACAGCTGTTGCGGCTTCAAGGAAAAGTAGTGTTGCCGCAGGTGCTTAACGGTTGTTATTGTTTTGCCCCATAGGTTTATCAGTCCATTTGGGTATAACTAGGTTAACCCTTGCTGAAGCCTGAAAATACAGGTTATCAGACGTAGTCTCTAAAGCCATGGACAAGTCGCATGACCCGACAGGTGGCGGTGCTCTCGTGCCTGCGTCAGGAACATTGGCGACTGCATCAACTGGGTCTCAGCCTGCGACGGCTGGGGCAACTCCCACGCCCATGTCGGTAGATGAAGGTTTTTTCACACAACCCGTCCAGGCGTATTTTCAGTTCGTGCAGAACAATCTTACCTACATTAATGAAGGTAACATTGACGCTTTCAGACAAGAGGCAGAGGAGAGACACACACATCTCATGGAACAGAAGGTTCAGCAACTGTACCAAGAGTTTGAAGGAATTTGCCTTAGTGAAATTGCCCATCAACGTGCAGAAGCTGATCGTAGACATGAACACCTAGTGTCAGAGTATTCAATGTCCCAAACGGCAACTGAGCATGAGGTCACAAAACTGAGACAGGAACTTAGCGATGCAAATGCAAAGCTGAAGAACGCTGCAAATGCAGTTGCACTGGAAGCTGAGCAGAGAGCAAACCAAAAGGTAGCCCATGTCACAGCCCAGTACGAACAAAGGTTTTCTGAACTCAGAGGTAGCCTCGAGGCAGACTGTAAACGAATCGTGGACGAAACAGTGGAGTATGCAAAGAACGGCATGGAAGGTTTCAAGAAGGAGGAACAAGCTGTAATCCAGGAGATTAGAGAGGAATGCAGTAGGCAGGAAAACCAAGCTGCTGAACTCAACTATCAACTACAGGGACAAGTGGAGGATTTGTTGGAGAAGCTCAACAAGTATAGCGCCCCGGAAATCAAGGTTGACAGAGCCGTTGAAGTCGATGATGGACAAGGCGGGAACACTGTTGATCTGTACTTGACCCCAAAATCAGCGGTTGGTACGAAGGCTGGAGCAGAACCCATGCCAAACACTGGTATGGGCAGCTTAGCCATGGACGCAAAAGAAAGACTGAGCAACTTATTCTCAACAACCCCTGCCGGATCAGCAGCACCTCCAAAATTGCCGCCATTGCCTGTTCAAAGACAAAATGACGATGATGCAAACCAAGAACCAAGTGTACCCAGTCCTACAGCACTAGCAAGCGACACTGGCAAGAAAGCTGCTGATGCAGGCTTAGGTCTTTCAGGTCAGCAATTGTTGGATCTCATCACTAGACTGACTTCAAAGGATTCAGATGGTGAAAAGCCCCGAACAAAGGAGGCAGAGACAATCAAACTGAACGACATGCCTGCCCCAGAAGCGTATCGTCACTGGCGTAACCACGTCAGAGATGAAGTCAAGTCGTGCTCCGACAAACCCGATGAGGCTTGGCTTTGGCTCAATGAAGTCTTTGACAACAAAACTCCTAGGGAAAAGTTGGAGGAAAAGCTACAGGAACCTGGGAAATTCATCACACTTGATACCAAGTTGTCGGCAGCGTTAACTCGCTCGGCCAAAGGTGATTTAGCAACGAAGATCCACAACTTTAAAGATGAAAAGTCAAAGAAAGGAATCCAAGTTAGAGGTAGGAGAGTCCTTTTGATGTTTGAAGATTACTTCAGGACGTCTGAGGAAGCGGAAGTCTCTATCGCGTGGAGGACTTACTTGGAGTCATTCGCACTGGAGAATCTGTGGAGGACCTCAGAAGGTTTTTGAACCGATGGGACGCCACAATTGCCGGTATGGAAACCCCACCAGATGACTTGGTTCTCAGAAACATTTTACTCAGACAAATTCGAAAATGCCATTTGATGAAGTATGACATTGAAGCATTCGACAGAGCTCCTGAAAAGTCGGAACAGAAGTCTTATGCATTCTTGTTGAGAAACATTCGTGACCTTTTGGATAGAGAAAGACTCAGTTCAAACAGAAACAGAATCGTTGAAAAGAACAAGCAGACCGAAAAGCCTCAGCCCGCTGCACCCGCTCAGGGGGGCAAAGATCGCGGCAAAGGAAAGGGTGATCGAGGTCGATCCCGTGGTCGAAGCCAGAGTGGAAAAGGGGATAGGATATGCTACAAATTCAGGGATGGCAAGTGCGAAAAGGGTAAAGACTGTCCCTACAAGCATGTCAAGGATTCCTCAAGATCTGGTACCCCCAAAAAGAAGGGCAAGGGGAAAGGCGGTAGCAGAAGCGGTTCCCCTAACAGAAAGTCAAGGGAAGAGATGGCCAAGATCCCATGCACTTACTTCCAACAGGGCAAATGTCGTCGTGGTGACAAATGTTTTTACAAACATGAAGTTGCAGCTGCACCCACAAAGGATCCAAAGCGCACTAATAGCCCTGCACCAAAGAAGAAGGCCAGTGCAAAAGCTGCGCCATGCATTACTCAAAGGTATGCATGCATAGCAAAGGGAAAAGGGTTGCCAAAGGCTACAAAGGCCATGAAAGAACAATGCCATAGAGCTGTTGTGTTTTCATCAAAAGTGGAATACATCAAAGTCCCAGCAACAGGTGAACAGAGAAAGGTAGTGCACAAACCCCGAATCTATGAGAAGACGTTCCCTGATTCAGAGTCAGTGCCAAAGCCGGACAAACTCACTGCTCACCGTGCTCAGGTTTCGGCCAGGCAGTTGCAGGAACTTGTGAAGCTCTTCAGCAACGACGCGCAGCCCAAGTGCCGATTCCGCTGCAATGATCCCGAAGGTGGAGTCTCATGTAACCACTGCAGAGCTCTGATCGGTCCAAAGAACAAACTTAGTAACACTCATTTGCCAACTGTTGCCACTCCTGCTTCAAAAGACGGATGTGTTTGGTTGGTTGACACTGGTAGTGAACAGGACTTGATCAGTGAAGGCATGTTGAAGACTGCAAAGGCGACAAATCGCCGTGCCAGTGACACTCCAATCAGTCTGGCAACAGCCAACGGTTCAACACGTGCGGATGAGGTGGCCGACGTAAAAGTCGATGCCCTACACCAGCCGTTCTCACCATACATTCTTGAGGAAACTCCTGCTGTTCTTTCGGTTGGGGTAAGATGTATGGAACAGGGATACAGTTTTGTTTGGCCGGCTGACGGTAGGCCTTACTTCACCCGTCCGGATATGGGAGTCATCGAGCTTAATGTGGACGGCCGTGTGCCGGTTATTGATAGCTCTTGTCGTGTTTTGAACAGTGGACAGTTCAAGAAAGATTGTGATTTGTTGCGTCTCTTTGCAATGGTTGCTGCAAAAGCAGAAGGTGCCGATGAAGAAGGTGTGGATGAGGGAGTAGCTCATGATAGCGAAACCGATTACATCAGATCTAGAAAGGCATCCGACCTTGAGCAAGAAGCATGTAGCAAGTCTCACCAATTTTGCCATTACCCCAAGAATCCATTTTGCAAGATCTCTCAGAAGGCGCGTATGATGGCGCCACCCGCAAAGAAGAAGGGAGGGCAGAAAAGATTGGAAACCAAAAGTTTTGGGGATCACATTGTCGCTGACCACACTGTAATCAAATCCAATGTGGAAGAAGGCGTCAAAGGTGAAACCGTGGCATTGGTGATGAAGGACATCCACACACAGTTCAGGCACGTTTATCCAAGTCAGACGAAATCAAGTGAATCATGTGTCAGCGCTTTTAACCACTTCTTATCCCACAAGGATGAAGTTGGGGCGGTTTACACTGACAATTCGAGAGAACTTATTGCTACTATTTCAGAGTTGGGGTACAGACATCAAACATCAACAGAGTATGTGGACAGTTCAAAGTCGTTTGTGGAGAGGGAGATCAGACACATGCTTGAAGGCACACGCACAAACCTTGTGCAGTCCGGTCTTCCACTGCAGTATTGGCCACTGGCTATGCAGCATTTCTCCATGGCAGTGAACGCCACGCCACAGCTCAACGGTGATGATGCCCCATGGAAACTCCGATTCGAAGAAGATTTTCCAGGTCAGTTGATTCCTTTCGGTGCAAAGATACTGTTTTGGAACAATCCAAAAAGGGTTGACAACACATCTGGAAAGACATCACCAACTGCAAATGATGGAATCTTTTTGGGATACCACATTCAACCTGGTTTTGCATGGAAGGGTGAGTATCTTGTTGCCAAGTTAGAAGCATTGGATTATCATGCAGAAACTGGCAGCATCACAGTGCAGCGAGCAGGACGTGTTGAGCTCATCGCGGGAGGTTTTGTTTTCCCACTCCGTGCATTGAAAGAGGCCAAAGAGCCCAAGCCGGACCGTCTTGCGGACAATGTCATTGCCGATCCTCGTCCGATTCCGTTTCAATCTGAATTACAAACTGAGGAACACGCAGAAGCAAGTGAAGAAGCAATTGACAAGTCAACGGAGGCAGTGCTTGACGCACTTGCCAGTGATGACAAGCCGGCTGAAGAAACGATTTTTCCTGATATCAAGTACACTCCAACTGGAACACCAATCCCGGATGGATATCATTGGGACGGAACACGCCTTGTGAAAACGTACAAAGGGTCAAAACGCCCGAGTCAATCCCATCAGATTTTTGGAAAATGCTTAGTCCAAAGGATAGGCAAAAGCTCGTTGAGGAGGAGGCTGAGAAAATGGCTGTTGGCAGCGGCGGTGCTGCATCAA